TTAGCATCGCGGCAAAACTGACGCCTCGGGTCGAGTCAGGAGTAGTTGAAGCTTTCCATTCTAGTCTATGGTGCCACTCAGGCGTTTGCGGTGCGGTTGCGAGGCGTTTGCGGAGCATTAATACCATTTAACTTCATTATAGGCGTTTGTGGTGCGGTTGCGAGGCATTTGCGGAGCGTTAATACCATTTAACTTCATTATAGGCGTTTTTGGTTCGATTTTAACACTTGGCAAACGCCTATCAACCGCCTCAAAACGCGCATAGGGCGTTTTGGGAGCATTTGAGGAGCGTTAAAAACGCTTCACAAACGCCTGTCTAACACCTGTAAAACGCTATAGGGGCATTTGGCAAGAGTTAGAAATAAAGTCAAGTGTGAGTGAGCCCTTACAATAGCAGAATAAAGATGAGCAAAGATTCATTTAATCTATTCTATCTTTTTAGTGTTGTTGATCCAGAAGAAAGCTGGGTAAATCCGTAATCATGTAGCTGCTAATACCTTCATTGATTCATCTGCACTGTCGGAGAAAAATGTGTCTGCTTCACCCAGTAATATTGAATTATTCCTCTGGAACAATTACTATGCTGATCAATCCTAAAACACTTTGATCATCTCTAATAAAAAAAAAAAGGCATCCAATGCATATATAATCTAATGTTTACTGCCAGCCATCTCTAACTGCCACTTTATGTGCTAGTGATGGAATGGATTTTCTTGTCATGTGCACAATTTCAGCACTAAACTCTTTAGACAGGTTTTATGCTGATATATGATGTGTAATTAAAGTCCTATCCCAGTTTATATGTTTTTAAAATACTGCCCAAAAAATGCCTTGTTTGATCAATACTCACTCTGTTTCCAGCCCTGTCCCTAACAGACTTAATGTTCTGAGGGCCAGCGTTGAGTTTTTTGTTGGCTGAATGATGCCCAATGTCATTCAAAACACTCTGTGATGCCAAGGCATCAAGGACTGAGCTTAGAAAATCTTCCTATGTTGGTGTTTTTTTTCATTTGATTTTAAGTGCCTAACTTAACTTTATGCATCAGCCCCAACCACTCGCCATCTCCCTGTATATTGAGGACACCCTTATTGGTCACTGAGGTACTTTAACTGGCTGAATGATGTCCAATGTCATTCAAAACACTTTTTGTGATGCTAAGGAATCAAAGACTGAACTTGCAGAAGAATCCTGCATAGCAGGCAACATATAACGCTTTGTGTAACTAAAAGGCCAGCTTCTTCCACCCACTGACAGCATTCAAGTAATAACTAAATTAATCAGGCTCAAAAAAGGTTCAGATCCCAGGAAAAAAAAAATACACTTTTAAGCTGAGATACCCTTTATAGAAAATGTGTACTGATAAAATCCAGGGGCTGCCATTGACCACTTGAATACTAAAAATATTAGTTGTTAGTGTTTCTGGACCATGCACGTAAGGAAGTCCGAGTGAAATCAGAGAACTGATTTGCACACTTCTTTCAGGTCTGCGCCTCAGTAAATATAAAAACCATTGAATCAGTATAACAGCCAAGGAATAACACTGGCATCCTTCATATTGCCTTGGTATACTTTTCCTTAAGGGCTCATTCAGATCTACAGTTGTGTCCCAAAATTATTCAACCCCCACTGAAATTGAGTGTTTTGGCCAGTTTGACATTGCTTTTGATCATTCAGTCATCTTGCTTACATTTACATTAAAGAGGCACTTGTAGTCAGACAAATATAAACATAACAGTTATAATGAAATAACCACAAATGTCTTTTCTGTGCTCACAGCATTATCAGTTTTATTCAACCCCCCAAGTGACATTCAATCTTAGTACTTAGTACAGCATCCTTTTACAGTTATAACAGCTTTTAAACGTGAAGCATAGCTTGACACAAGTGTCTTGCAGCGATTACGGGTATCTTCGCCCATTCTTCATGGGCAAAGGCCTCCAGTTCAGTCACATTCTTAGGCTTGCGCACTGCAACTGCTTTCTTTAAGTCCCACCAGAGGTTCTCAATCGGATTTAAGTCTGGTGACTGCGATGGCCACTCCAAAATGTTCCAGCCTTTCCTCTGCAACCATGCTCTAGTGGACTTGGAGGTATGCTTGGGATCATTGTCCTGTTGAAAGGTCCAACGTCTCCCAAGCCTCAGGTGTGTGACGGACTGCATCACGTTTCCATCCAATATCTCCTGGTACTGAAGAGAATTCATGGTACCTTGCACACGCTGAAGCTTCCCTGTACCTGCAGAAGCAAAACAGCCCCAAAGCATGATTGACCCTCCACCATGCTTCACAGTAGGCAAGGTGTTCTTTTCATCATAGGCCTTGTTCTTCCTCCTCCAAACATAGCGTTGATCCATGGGCCCAAACAGTTCTAATTTTGTTTCATCAGTCCACAGAACACTATCCCACAACTTTTGTGGTTTGTCCACATGGCTTTTGGCATACTGCAGTCGACTCTTCTTATTCTTTGGAGACAGCAAGGGGGTACGCCTGGGAGTTCTGGCACGGAGGCCTTCATTACGCAGTGTGCGTCTTATTGTCTGGGCTGAAACTTCTGTACCCACATCTGACAAATCTTTTCTCAGTTCCTCAGCAGTCACACGGGGACTTCTCTCCACTCTACGCTTCAGGTAGCGCACAGCAGTCGAAGTCAGCATCTTCTTTCTGCCACGACCAGGTAGCGTTTCAACAGTGCCCTTTGCCTTGAATTTGCGAATGATGCTTCCTAAGGTGTCTCTTGGTATGTTTAACATCTTTGCAATCTTCTTATAGCCATTGCCCTTCCTGTGAAGAGAAATCACCTCTTCTCTTGTCTTCCTGGACCATTCTCTTGCCTTCACCATGTTTGTAACCACACCAGTAAATGTCTAGAAGGAGCTGAGTATCACAGTCATTTTAAAGCTGCCTAATTGGTGCTTATTATGCTTGATTGCTGCTCGGTGACATCCACAGGTGTTTTCAATACCTGATGGAAAGCACCTGTATGAACCTCTGTTCTTCAGAGTGGTAGTCTTTAAGGGGTTGAATAATTGTGGCAATGAAGAAACCACATAAGAACCATTTACTACTGTATTACATAAACCAATTGATGTCATTTTAGTTGCATTTGGGTAGTTACAACGTCCTTGTAGGATTTGATTCTGAATACAATTCCAAATGTACACTATAGTCCCTAAACCCCTTTACAGCATTGGGGGTTGAATAATTTTGGACACAACTGTATGTGCTGTAGTAACAAATGGTAAAATGTGTGTTATTCCACCAACAATGCACATACCGTTGCAGTGTATTTTTTACTTAAATGCTATCCCAACACACTAAACCAGGGGTGGGCAAACTTTTTGACTTGAGGGCAGCAATGGGTTCATATATTGGACCCGGGGGCCGGACCAAGAGTAGATGAATGATGTGTATGTGTCATCCATAGTAAGTATAGTAATATTCCCCCATAGTAAGCATAGTAATTAATCCCCCATATAGTAATTCATCCCCCATAGTAATTCATCCCCTAGTAATTCATCCCCCATATAGTAATTCATCCCCCATAGTAATTCATCCCCCATAGTAATTCCTCCCCCATAGTAATTCATCCCCCATATAGTAATTCATCCCCCATAGTAATTCATCCCCCATATAGTAATTCATCCCCCATAGTAATTCATCCCCCATAGTAATTCATCCCCCATAGTAATTAATCCCCCATATAGTAATTCATCCACCATAGTAATTCATCCCCCATAGTAATTCATCCCCCATATAGTAATTCATCCCCCATATAGTAATTCATCCCCCATAGTAATTCATCCCCCATAGTAATTCATCCCCATATAGTAATTCATCCCCCATAGTAATTCATCCCCCATATAGTAATTCATCCCCCCTATAGTAATTCATTCCCCCTATAGTAATTCAATTTACTTACCTTTGCTCCGCACGTTCCTCTCGCCGTGTTCCCGCGCCATTCCGGTCTTCAGGGCGGACTGTGAGAGGAGCCTAGCTCACATTCGTCACGCTGCCCCGCCTACACACATCCTGACAGCCATCCTGACAGTATCACGCTCCGCGGGCCGGATTAAAAGGTCCGCCGGGCCGTAGTTTGCCCATTGCTGCACTAAACCAATACACCTGCATTTAGTCTAGGTTCACACCCAGGGGCGGACTGACAGCTCATGGGGCCCCCGGGCAATAGGGGATCATGGGGCCCCTGTGTCCTTGCCCACACTCAAAGCACACCCAAAAAAAGCCTATGAAAAGGTACCAGGGGCATTTCATGGGACCCCTTACTGAGCCTGGGCCCTCCGGCAGTGCCCGAGTGCTCGAATGGTCAGTCCGCTCCTATTCACACCTAAGCATTTTCCACAGTGTTTTGCAGAAGCGCACTACAATCCATTTAACATAATTTCCTATGGGACACGTTTACATTTCCGCGCTTTCACCTGGTGAGCTTTTTGGAAAGGGTCAGGGACTTTTTTAAATGCAAAACTTTGCGGTTTTGGTTCTATAGACTTCAATGGAGACTGCAGAAAAGCATGTAGTGCATTTTTGCTGCATTTTTTATGCTTTTTCGCATTTTAATCTGCCTAGCAACAAGAAATAAAAAGCAACACACATCAAAAAACGTGGCAAAAACGTGTCAAAAGTGCATGTGCAAAAATACACCGCAAAAAGCACTGCAGAAACGGATCAAACGCAAACTAGGTGTGAACCTAGCCTGAGTGTTGCCACCTCATCTCTTTAAACCCGAGTAAAATGGTAATTAACTACTTGCCAACCGCAGATAGTCGAATGACGGCTACACTGCGGCCGGCCAGTTCTGGGAGGGCATCATATGACGTCCTCTCAGAACGCGCTCTCCTGTGTGCCCCCGGGGCGCGCACCCAGCAATCTCCATGATTGCTGTGTCCTACGGACACAGCCAATCACGTGATGTGGTAAAAGGCCAATCACAGTGGCCTTTTACCACGTGATCAGCCGTGTCCAATGACACGCTGATCACCGGGAAATGCAATTGCCGGTTCTCGGCTGCACTTTCCTCACGCTGTCAGAGCGCGAGGAAAGTACTGCCGAGAACCGGCAGTTGTCAGAGCAGGGATCGCACAGATCATCAGGGCACTGATGATCAGTGCCCTGATGATCGGTGCCCAGCAGTGCCACCCACCAGTGCTGCCCACCTGTGCCCAGCAGTGCACCCGCCTTTGCCCAGCAGTGCACCCACCTGTGCCCGGCAGTGCCCACCAGTGCCACCCAGCAGTGCCACACACCTGCGCCCAGAAGTGCCACCTACCTGCGCCCAGCAGTGCCACCCACCTGTGCCCACCCACCTGTGCCCACCAGTGCCCCACCTGTGCCCACCAGTGCCACCCACCAGTGCCCATCAGTGCAGGCCAGCAGTGCCACCAGTCAGTGCCACCAGTCAGTGCCCAGCGGTTGTGCCAGTCAGTGACCAGCAGTTGCGCCAGTCAATGACTAGCAGCGCCGCCAGTCAGTGCCCAGCAGTGATGCCAGTCAGTGCCACCTATCAGTGCTGTCTATCAGTACCCATCATCAGTGCTGCCTATCAGTGCCACCTATCAGTGCCGCCTATCCGTGACACATCATTAGTGCTGCCTATCAGTGCCACCTATCCATGCCACCTCATTAGTGTTGCCTATCAGTGCTGCCATCAGTGCCCTTCAGTGCTGCCTATCAGTGCCCATCAGTGCTGCCTATCAGTGCCCATCAGTGCTGCCTCATCAATGCACATCAGTGAAGGAGAAAAATTACCTGTTTGAAAAATGTTATAATAGAAACAAAGAAACTTTTTTTTCACATTTTTTGCATTTTTTTGTTTATAGCGCAAAAAGTATTTTTGGTGGTAAAAATACCACCAAAAGAAAGCTCTATTTGTGAGGAAAAAAAAGATAAAAATGTCATATGGGTACAATCTTGCATGACCGCGCAATTGTTATTCAAAGTCCAACAGCGCTGAAAGCTGAAAATTGGCCTGGTAAAGAAGGGGGTATAAGTGCCCGGTAGGCAAGTGGTTAAACTCACTCAGTGCTTTATCTGCATTAAATTAGCCTAAGAACCTGTGTAATTAATATGTGTTCGGGGTGAGGTGGCAACCCTACCTGCATTGCAGGTGTGTTGACAGCCTTAAAGCAATGTACATTAATGCACAATACAATGCTTTTTTGTTAAACAACAAACTGGACCAAACAGGTCGGAATTGGTCCTTAAAAAGCGAATTGTTTCTTTTCAGGTAATAAGATTAACCACTTGCCTATTGGGTACCTTTACCCACTTGGTGCACAGGCCAATTTTCAGCTTTCAGCACTGTCTCATTTTGAATGACAATTGCATGGTCATGCAACACTGTACCCATATAAAATTTGTACCACTTTTTCACACAAGTAGAGCTTTCTTTTGGTGGCATTTAATCACCACTGGGGGTTTTATTTTTTGCACTATAAATTAAAAAATACTAAACATTTTGAAAAAAAAAGTTTTTCTTTGTTTCTATTATAACATTTTATAAAAAACAGGTAATTTTTCTCCTTCACTGATGTGCATTGATGAAGCTGCACTGATAGACAGCACTGATGGGCACTGATGAGGCGGAACTGGTGAGCATTGATGAGGAGGCACTGATAGGAGGCAATGATAGGCACTAAAATGCAGCACAGTCAGTGGGCATAGACTGGTGGCACTGACTGGCGGTACGGACTTAATGGCACTGACAGGTGGCACTGGTAGGCAGCACTGCCAGGCACAGATTGGCAGCACTGCTGGGCACTGATAAGTAGCACTGTTGGGCACTGATGGATGGCACTGTTGGGCACTGATGGTCACTTTTGTGGCTACACTGATAATCAGTGCCCTGACTATCAGTGGAGATGTATCCTTTGACAGTAACCAGTTATTGGCAGTACTTTCATCAGACTGTGGCAGTGTCACTGTGACAGTGACTGTGACATCAAGTGTATTTATATGGTGATCAGCTGTGATTGGACACAGCTGATCACATGGTAAAAGGCAGCTGTGAATGGCCTTTTACCATATCATTTGATCAGCTGTGTCCTCAGCGATTACAGACAGCGCCGGTGGTGTGCCAGGGGCGTGCTCTGGGAGGACATCATTTGACGTCATTTGGCTATAGCATGGTAAGGAAGTTGTTAAAGGAGAAGTACAGCCAAAGCTTGGCGGGTACTTCTCCTGTGGATCACAGGAGTGCAGGTCATTCTGCACTCCTGTGTCCTGTTTGGCGGATGACAACACAAAGCCAGTCCAAAGATCGCGACTATATGTTCGGAATCCACCCAGGTGCCTAGACTGGTACCTGGCTCAGCCTCTCAGTGAGCCACAGAGTGCCTGAGCCAGCTGCTCTCACCCCCCTCCACAGTCCAGTGCTCCAGTGAGCACAGGGGTGCAGAGCAGACAGTGGTGTCTTTGCTCAGAACGGTGGGGAGAACTGAGTGATTAGCAGTATCTGATCACTCAGTTCTCAGCATCAGATTGATGCTGCATCCACCTAAGTAAGTATAATTTAAGAAAATAATACAATCCCATACTACTTAAAATTTATATTGATTGTGTCCAAAGAAATGCTTAATTTATCAGATCATTACATAATGATATCAGACTAATAACAAAACTTTTTCGGACACTACAAGGTTAAGACTACCAAAAAACTACCTTTTTCCAGTGCATGTGTTGAAAAAAAATGCACAAGTAGCTGTGGAATTGGATCTCTGTACATGTTATAGTACAGATTTCCTCTGAGAGAAAATACAGTAGTGTTGTACAGTTTAGAATGATCAGCTCTCAGGAGAATTTAAACAACTGAACTACTGTAACAAGGCAGCTCTGGTGACTGACTGTTTCCGAAGCTGAGCTAGCAGTATAAAGGGTGTCTCATTAGTCTGTCCAATAAACAAAGCAAAAACATGTTCTGTTAACTGGAATAGGAATCATATTAGAGCTGAGACAGAAATACAATTAACGTCATGATTTTTTTATGTAAACATGAACTTTGGTTAGATATAAAAAAATACAAAGATACACTCAAAATACCTATTACATTTTATTAATATAAATACTACTGGCCAGATTAAAACTCAACAACCTTCCCCACAAAGAACCTGTTAAAATAGACAATTGTCAAAAGTACTCTCAGGAGAATTAATCAGCTACTTATAAATTATGGGATTTTAGTTCATGGAGCCACATAAATCTCACATAATTCCTCCTATACTTTGCCTTTGTGCTGGCATTTCCTATAATACAGACCAATGACTTCTGCTCTCTGTCCTTGTGGAGAGTGCCTGTTTTTGTATCCTTGTCCCAGGAGCGGACTGAAAACTCATGGGGCCCCCGGGCAATAGAGGATCATGGGGCCCCTGTGTCCTTGCCCAAACTCAAAAAAGCCTATGAAAAAGGTACCAGGGGCATCTCATGGGGCCCCCTACTGACCCCGGGACCCTTGGGCAGTGCCTGAATTTCCAAATGGTCAGTCCGCCCCTGCCTTGTCCCATATAGTTTTCTGCAGACAGTATGTAGCAGGAAGACCTTCTGCATCCTACCCATCTCTGCTCCCTGCACAAGCTATATGCAGCACACTGATGATATCACCACTATTTTACAAAGTAACATCTGTGTTTGCAAAGGCATTTGGTGCTCACAAACTGGATTTGTATCCTTTGTGTACAGTATATTTAAAAATACAGTTAAATTAAAATGGCTGCATTCAGCTTTAAAAAAAACATAAAAATCTTATGGTGCATGCATGATGATTTTAAAGGACATAGAACACTGTCAGTTAAAAATGCTACCAGGCCAGTGGAACTTGCACTGAATTGTGCATATTTAATGAACTGGTCAGAGAAAGAGAAATGTGGGTTGTTTTGTTTCTAAAAATGTAGTTAGTGACCAGGGATGAGCAGAGTGATTTCAGGTAACTGATTTTCTGGGAGAGTTGAAAGAAGCTTTTAAAGCCCTTAGTAGTAATTTGAAGCCAATTGCACCCTTAAAGGCTAAGTTCACCTTTACAACATGTTACATGTTACACCTGTGTAGGACTACCCCATTAAGAGTCACTAAAGAATTGGGTCCCCCTATAGTCTTGCACTACCAGGCAACACGCATTCCTCACAGACTCACATCCAGGAGATAATAATCAGTGCTTGAGGTTGGGTTTTATTTTCTATTAGGGTAATTTGAACTTAAATGGAGTAAGGGATGCTCAAGGGAACTGCAACTGAGGACAACTTCCTGGAACTATGTACACATCTTTACACAGCAAAATATCTCTTTTTTGAGAGCTCTCCAGCCTCTCCTGGTGTACCACCCCAAACCCCAGATAATCCTCCTACATTCAGCTGTTTGGAGGAATCCTTGGGCTAGGGGATCCAGTGCTTGCCACTGTAAGCTGAACAGTCCCGGGTAAGGAGCTTATCAGGTTCTCCATCAGAGTGCCCCTTTCCCCTTTAACTGGCCAAGGGTTGTAGGATTACTCACTCAGTCCTGCTCCTATGAACTGGTGGGTTGGTAGCTGCTTTCAGGCCTTCAGCTGGGCTAGTTCCTTGCACAGGTGGTCCTCACTCAGGGGGGCCGATGAGGTCTGAGCTTTCTTCCTATTCAGCACCACTGCCCGGAGGTGGACCTCTTCCCAACTGGGTCCCCTCCCAGGCTCCTGCACCTCAGCCTTTTCACTCCATCTTCCACCTGAACTCTCCTGCTGCTTAGCAGGCTCTATCACATGTAAAGGCTGCCCTGGCCCCATGCCAAGCCTCCTGCTTGGGGATTGGCCAGGGTCTCCTACTTGTGCATGCCAGCCCCTCCTCACCCCTGCCCACTGCTTCTGGAATTGTATCCAAGATTCTAGAGCAGGGGAGATATCAGGGAACTGACCTGCAGAGGCTCTCAGCCCTGACCTGAATTTAACCCTGCTAACTATTAGTTGAACACTAGCTCTCCCTAGCTACCTAGGAGGGTGTCACACCCATTATTACAGTGTAGGGTGTAACATATAACATGTTCCAATTCCCGCTTCCCTCGCCCCCTGGTCCTTTCTCTCCCTGCAACAGTGGCAGGGGATCCTCTACCCTGGAGCTGATGTCACATTTAAAATTGGCATGGCTCTGCCCACACAACCACATCACAGGGATCTGTGAATTAATAAACTACAATTGACTTGTAGTTCTCAATGGACTACGAGCATGCTGATCAGTACACTCGTTGTCCATTCACTCTTCCTCCAGCTTTCTGGGTATGAATTATATCTTTATAAAAAGGTTCATCCCATAAATATACGAAAGTACAATTGTGACCTTTTGTTTATTTTAGGTCACTGAAGTGTGTTGGCCAGGAGTTACAAATCTGTCTGCAGATTTGAAA